TCATAAACGTCTCTAACCTATGTAGTATCCGAAACCGGATTGTAGAGTAAAGACGCAGGGATATATAATTATATTTATATCCTGCGGCTTAGAGTAGGTACCTATTCGAGGGGTAGGTACATAGATATAGGAAGGGGTTGAATAGACTCTAGAAGAATTTCCAAAAGTGTATTCACTTCTCTCCTGTATCTACGACTCTCATTTGAGATCACTTCTGTCGCCGTAAAAGTAGTGTCCGTTACCGTTCGTCCGTTTTTGTACCGCCAATTTTTTTTTTCACCTCGTAAACTTTCCCAAAACTATTACAAATATTTAATGATCAAAATGAACAGAATCGGTCCAGCCATTGTCGAGTTTTAGCAAGACTAACGAAAGAAGAAAGAAAGCTATTTATTTATTAATCATAAGTTTGAAGCACAATAATTTTATTATAATGACAAATGGCTTAAATTTCGTTGCAGAAACCATAAACTACCTGCCTTCATGTCGTATATCAAAGGTGTGACAGAAAAATTCTTATCCGCCCATAAAAAAAATTCGATCCCGACGATCTACACACCTGAGGCCAAACTTTCCTTCAAAGTCGGTTAACACATCTGTGGATATTGTCAGCGTAGTGTGTAGACGGCCTAATATGGTAGAAAATGAAAATAAGGGGGTAGATGAAGATTCATCGCCCGAATGCAGGGAGCTGTGACATCGCGTCTTCAGTCTGCACGACCTGTGCAACCGGGTCAAAACGTCAAGCCTACCAAGGTATTCAAATAATTATTTTTCGCGTTAATACCCTCGTAAATATGTGTTATTAAATAGAGAAATATTCTATCCTTATCCGAGGATACATATTAATATTTATATATATTCTTATTTAGTTTTGATAGTTATATATGTAGTTAGTCCCTAGTAAGAATGGCTAAAAGCCATAAAACATCAATAAGTACATCACGTTGGCCGAAATAGTAATTGTCTCCACTTCACAGCTTCTCCCCTTTTCCCGTCTTGTTATCATTTCCAAAATATAGTTAGGTACTCAAACTTTGAGCCAACCATAATACGGCACAACCACACCCAGACACATATTTACATACATACGAGCATATTGCAATTAAAATGTAAGTATAATATATTTTATCGACTACTTAAACCTTTTTCTGAGAGATTCCATGAGATCCATGAAAATCTAATGATTTATTCATCTAATTCACCTGAGATCTACCTCCGACAATATCTAATGCGTATACGGATATGAACAATAAATAAAGAATTATAGTAGATAGACAAAAAGAAATTCCTATGCAAACAAAAAAAAAATATCACTCCTGATATGAATGTTCAGCTTGGTCTCAAAGGTGGGCTTTTTATGTAATTTTGCGTGGAGCCAATGTCTTTACTGGTGGAAACAGACGTTGGGCCTCTTGTTACATACACTCCGGTTAAGGCGACCTCGTCATATCAAAGTAGGAGAGCCACTCCTACAATATGATTCTTCGTTCTCTGTATCGAACCCTTTTTTGAGGAGGGAAAATCATCAATTGACTGCTCGCTCAGGGTAAGTATAGCGAGTTTCAGGCTCTTATTGACTAAAAAGTTCCCCGGGTTCTTTTCCTGCTCTAGGCCAAAGTCGCGATACTCATCTTAATGCGCTTGTCCCGTAACTCCGGCATAACATCGGTCTTGTTGGACCTATTGTGGTCTATTGGCTCTTTGGGCTCTTTGAGGCGAGCGCAGTGTGCTACCGCTAGAGTGACACCTATTGCGGCGGCCCTAGCCGCCTAGCCCCGTGAGGAGGATAGCTTCCTAATGCGCTCTGCTTCCTCCTGAGCGATATTCGCGGCTTCCAGTTCACTACTTGACTCGGATGCGAGAGCCTGCCGCCGCCAATCACTTTCCTGAGGGCACGGCTCAAGCATGGCACACCTCCATTGTATGCTCCACCGTCGTCCTCACAATGCCGACACCCAGACGTTTCCTCCCGCTGAATCCGAAACAATAACCTACCAAAGCTTCCTTTCCTGCACCTGCATTAGGCGGAAGGAAAGGACGCCGTGGTTCCTCTCAAGCCACTCATCAAAGAGGGGTCTTCGCTGCTATAAGCGCGTGCACGTGCCATAGGTATGCAAATACATAATTATAATTTCATAAATATTTAGTCACAATAATATTACACATAACATAGTTGTAAACTACCTAAATAATACATATTATCCATATTATTAGATGGCGTAAAATCTAATTGTAAGTAGGGACATAATGATATTTTTTACGAATTATCGTCTCCATATTTTCCTATTAGGCAATTATTATGAATGTTCCTATTAGGCAAATCCAGAATTCCAAATTCGTATTACGTATTATGAAAATATGGATTTAGAATTTTTAACCAGAGACGTTAGGAGAGCATTGCACAATTCATTACGTGTCATGGGTGTTCCTGGGGAGCGCCAATGGCTTACCATCGCGAAACCAACTAGCTCTTTTGCCGCCGTATAGAATACACTAACATAAAAAATACGCTCGTTATTAGAGTTTGAGTATGTAAGGCTATATTCAAATATTGTCCAGTGGAGCCCAACTAACATGCTGGCAAGCATTCTTGTCCTGATTATAATCTGACCGTCTGTTGTATTTCGCGCTTAACACGAATTCAAAATTACTTTTTAACTAAGATTTATCTATAAGATACCACGAGGATAGGTACCCTTCATATTTTCAACCGCGCAAAAAAAAAGAGGAGGTTCTTAATAAAATTCAACTGTATTTTTTTTATTATTTTACATTTCACACATATGTAATCTCATGAAGGATTGAAGAGAATCGTGGTATATCCAGCTTATTTTTTGCTCTAAGTAGGTAGGTAGTATTAAAATCCTATCTATCGCTTCTGTTTGAAATAATTTTAATTTGAAACATAGGTACATACGTAATGTTATATTAATTGACATGGCAGCGTTAGGACATTAATCATTTTAATTAGTTCTCTCAGAGACCTATATAGCTCGGATAGCCCGCATTTGTGTAATAGGTAGCCTCTCTTCCCAGTACATAAATCTGTCCTGTTTCAGTATTTAAAAAAACAGTATTTTTTAATCTCTGCCTTTCAGTCTCATGCTGTATTATTTTCACACAGTATTTAACTTATCATCCGCTGATTTTATTTTGTTACTGATGGAAAGCTGATTTGAGACTTTACCACATTAAACGCCACTGGGGACACCGATGCCTTCAACAGTTTTCTGCCGGCAGTCAAGGGCTTAGGTACATATCTACCGATTCGTTTTAGGTAGGTATTGAAAAATTGAGATTCTTATTGTATGGTATCCATGTCTTAAAGTTTCTCTCTACTCGTAAAAGTACATCGGCAATCGCAGTTCTTTATCTATTTTTACAAATAGATAACTGCGATTCAGATTTTATTTTTATTCCTTATCTACTGGACGCCCGCGGTCCGCCCCTGCTTTACACAGATATGGAAAATTATTTTCCTAAGAACCTTACCTTGACAATAAAGGCACAACAAAATAAAAATTAACATTAATATGCACTTACCAACACATTAGGCTATACATTTTATAACATAGATAGGGGAGGTGGGCCCAAAACGGGTACGCTAAGGGATATTTACAATAAAAAAATGGTAGAAAAGAAAATTAAACTTCTATTTTTACTTTTCAAATTATGTAACTAATAAAGAATCTAAAATTAGAACAAACATAAAAAAAATTCTTCAGTATTCGAACAAAAACGAAAAACAAAAAAAACCTTCAAACTACCCGTTTTTCCCCATGTGGTGCCTAAAACGGGTACGGCGTTTGGGCAAAACGGGTTTAAGGTAATTATCGAGATCAATGGATTCTTCTTTTTCATTGCAGTCTTCATTATTAAACTTATTACACTTTCTTCGATCATCATTCATCATAAATCCATCACAATAATAGAATAAGTTGTGCACGCCTCGTGGGCCCACATTTGACAATCATCGTATTTGATCCAGTCCTCTATAGGCGGGTATGAGTATAACTCTGAACAAACCAAGCATGGGTATTCGGTTCCGTGATCTTCATTATCCTTTGGTTCTCGCTTGTACCTTTTTTGCTTATTTGTCTTACTAGTAGAAGCTTTTACAACCTTCAAATTTTTCTTCACTGCTTGGATTTTACTCATAGGAACTTTCTTTTTCTCTTCTTTTTCTTGTTGCTGATCTTTTACTGGCGTACCCGATTTACCCGTACCCGTTTTGCCCGAAGAGCACGTTTTATTTTTAAACTTTATAGCCTTAAAATTTAAACAAAAGTAGCAACAAGCTTCCGAAGATAAAATAACACAATACTAGCAAAACCGTAACGTAAATTTTTTGAGAACATATCATACACTATTTTTGAGTAAACACAATTATTCCAAACCAATATTTTTTAATGGAAATAGCAAAAAAACATTTTTTTAACTTACTTTGAAAGCGCTTGTATCACTGTAGCGAGCCGACTGCATGTGATTGGTTGATGCTCGAGGCACCACACTTTACTCATACATTTGCAATTTTACTTTCGGCGCGCAAATTTAAAAGGCTACCCGTTTTAGGAGGGGTACCTGTTTTAGGCCCACCTCCCCTACAACATTGTACTTACAACTAAAAATATTTTGTATAGGTACATAACCTACTCGAATTCCTTTCATTAAAATTGTGTTTTTGTATTGAATTGTTGATTTAAATTACTAAGTAATTCTACAATTTCTAAAAATTAAGAGACATTATTTGGTCCTCGTTTAATTTTGTCCACAAAGTACCTACTTTGCACATAGTCTACCTATATGGAACTACACAAAAAATAGATCCGATCGAATATCTATGAGGATCGACATCACTATGACATGTGACAATAAAAACATGTATAAACAAAAATCAACTGTAACAGTTTCTGAAATATTTATTTGTCATTTTATAATCATTGATTGTTTATTCGTAAGGTAAGACCCGGTAACCCACCATAAAACATTTCAGCAAAATGGTGGTAATTACAACAAAAATCAAAAAAGGTTTCAACTCGACCAGTGAAAGGTTTGGTAGATTAACTGTGCATCCGAATTTAGACCCTAGCGGCCTTTACGCAACACGACCCGCTGGATGTGATCCTTGCCTCTACCATCCAAATCCCATTCAGTCATTATGCGAAGCTATTCACAAAAAGAATATAGATAAAGATCCATGGAGATATAAGAACGAATTAGAGGAATGGGCGAAAAACTTAGGGTACAGAAACCAGAAAGTCCTAGAACAGCGACAATGGAACCGATCAATATTAGGGCCTGCCTGGCACGAAGTTCGTGAACTCCCCAAATATGAACCAGCCTGTATGAACGTTGGGTTTGGAAGGACGCCCCGGACTAAACCATTGAAACAAACCGTTCCCGATCCCGGTGCGTATTACAGAGCAGTGCCATTTAAAGCCCCTTATGGCCCGCACTCTAGCCGACCATCATTCGAAAGAGAAGAGGCTTGCAGGTTCAAAGACACTTCACCTAAATGGTCTCTTGCCCCGAACCGCTACACGATCATCGATAAAGATTCTATCGAGCATAAGTCAAAAAAAGTGGTTTCAATTAGAGGTCCTTATGACTTATTTACCGGTAAACGAGACGAAAGTACGATTAAAAATCATTTTAACACTTCTCTTAAATGTTCAGCAGCAACTTGGCCAATCGCCCTAAAAGGCAGTTTAGAGAAATATAAATCGTCACATTTTGGCACGTTAAATAAGACCAACAGGGATAAGCTCCACAGAGGCCGAAACACTCTGGTCGACTTGGCGATGTGCCCGCGTCGCGTACAGGACCCTGGACCCACGCACTATACCACCACACCGCCTACTACTTTCAAGCAAAATATACACGGTTTTAATAGTTCTTACGATAAGCCCCCAGGCTACAAAAAAGTGATTGTATGGCCAGGGGTAGGTCGATACAGATTATCCACTCAACGATCTATTGTTGGGCATGGACATAGGCATGTGTTCCAGAGCAAAATAGGAAGGACAATAGGTGCCGTCATACAACCGCCCATGAACTCGTTCTAGGCACACTGGTATGTTCAACTTTTATATAACATTTTCCCTAGTTTCAGGTCAAACTCATATCTATAAGCTACACACTACTGAGCAGATAGGAAGTTGTTTATATTGCTCAAGTGATATGAGTGTCAGGTGAATCCAATATTTTTAGACATGCTATTCTTAAGGTTGTGAAAAATAAAAATCGTACTTTATTTTTTTAATGGCCAGTTTCATTGAGGAACAAATCTAAAGGCATTTTATATATCAACAATTTTTTCAATCAAATATCAACATTTAACTCTTATTCAGAACACCATCTAGTATACAGTTAGTTTTGCTCCCCAATCTTCCATTAACATTTATTTTAATTTCCACTGATAGTGTTGTTTATTACAGTAGACAATAGTTATACTTTACACTAAATGACTGTGTGTAGTAGGCATTTGGAAACGTTGATTTTTTTTATTTCAGTGCTAAAAAAATAAGATTACAATAGTTCCAAATGCGACTACACAACATGTTGACATAATTATATTTAACTATATTTACAGTCAACAAATCAAAACCGAAGCAAAAAGTTTAATGTTACTACATTATTTCACTTGTTGAAACCAGTTTATCGATTTAAACTTTTATAAAATTACCTTAAAACTTAATCATATAATTAAACTAAATTAAAGGGATCCTTTAGGATATATATACCCTAAGAATATTTGCTGCAACTTCTTCAAGTTTAATGTGGAATAGTGTAGAGCAACATTTTTCGGGTTAAGCCAAATTGATAATACAACAGATTGTAATAATTTGATCCAATCAGTGTGTTCGTATATAAATTACGTACGAGTTAAGTATCGCGTTCTGAACAGTGAAACAATACTAAATTAAAAGTAATCCTACCTTAATGTATATATTTTTAAAGAATAAATGAGAACAACGACATCGAAATTTTGGCTTACATTTCATAAAGACCAGCAAACATAACATACCTTAAATTAGAGGCTTTACATGTAGCTTACAAAATAATATGAAGTTGGCACTTAAAAATACATTCCCAATAACAAATTCTTTTTTGATAAATTATGACCTAAAAGTTTGTACATAATCAAATGCGATATTAAACATTTGTATGGTTTCGGAAAAAAATATATGGGTCATTGAACCGCGCTGTCGTACGCTTACAGCTATTAAATGTCGGTACTTACAAGCGGTCGGTAACAGACTACCAATACATAACCTAGGTGAAATTACTTTATCTCCAATATGTATTATTTTTTGGATATCACTTACAAAACATTGTCAATCAATACCAGTTTGTAATAAATTTTAAGAAATAGGACTATCTTGGAATTTGTTCAATTCTATTATAGATTTACAATGACAGACCAATTTTTAACGACATCTTTCTCTTTGAAATTAAGTTGCAAGGTTTCATGCAAAAAACAGAAAGCTTGTAAACAAACAAAATACGCAGGCCTATTAGCAAAGAATAAGAAATAATACTTTGAAGTATTTTATTCGTAGAGTTATAAGTACTATAATTAGTATATATGCTGTTTGAAAGTTCGGTCATCGCAAAGCCTGAAGGCGGTGTGATACCTTCAACATCCAAGGTATCACTGCCTTGAGACTTTGTGTCGTCCTTCCAAACACCCTGTATAATCAAAACTTTCAGTGTTTTTGTTTTTGAAAGACCAGCTTTCATATATATCCTTCAAGGAATCAAGTCGGAAGTATCAAAGGGAACATAATTGTTAACAGCTATTACTATGACGTGGAAATATGATTTATACAACAGATCAGATTACAAGTTAACTTATATGATACATTTTACTTTGTAAAGCGATTCTATTGTTTACTCATCTAAATATTTCTGTTTTACGTAAAAGAATCTGTTTAAATAATTATTTTTTAAGAGAAGTAGCTTACCAGGTTAATTGTTTCTACATTCCCTAAATTTATTATATCTGATAGTAATTAATATATTTTTCAGAGCTTAACCACTAATCTAAACTTATCTATAATACCAGTAAAAAGTGTATAGTTATTTATTGAAGGTAATGCATACAGACTACTGTAAGAAAATAATGCCTAGCAAATTATAAGAAAATATGTTATAGGTTACTTAGCCAATATTAAGACGCACAGTGACGAGCCCGCTGTAGTGGTAGTAGTAATGATTTCGGTTCATTCACTGGTAAGATGACAAATGTTATTAGGAACTCTATTGCTACAACCTCATAGTTCAGTAACAGTTTGAGAAATGTGACAGCCTGTGTAATTGGTACTTAAAGCTAGTAATTTGATATTATTCAAAAGTGCGCATTGAATGCTAGTTCTGTGAATGAACTACCCTAACAAACATAATGTAAGGTAGATATTATGATTACTGTCTTTTCTCTAAGTGCAATATGCAACTATTTACAACAACACAAGGTGTAGTACTATTTATTAACATCTGTTACACCCAAAAAGGCAAATACTTATACAGTAAAAATTATCTAATTATAGTGTATATCAGTTAGTGTGCATGATATTATGTTATTTTATCTGCCTTACAACTTTTATTCAACAAATACCAGGGATAACAGTTCAAATAATTAATTAGTCTAAAATATTTCTTTACATCACTATTTCAGTTACATTCTAAAGCATTTATTTGTTGGTTATCTAATTAATGACTGTAAAACAGATAGCGTTTCTGAAACCACGTTTAAAATATTAGTTGCTGTAAAATCTTACAATAATGATTTAAAAAATTGCCTGCATAATCTTATAAAATATATATTTATGTTATTGAGAATTAAATTTCATGTATACATACATGCACGTCGCCTCTTACGATCATGCACAACATTCCACAAACTTTGCCAAACCTTGATTGGTATAACACTCAGAGTAATAACTTTATTATTATTTTTTTTTTGTTTTCTAATTATTTAGCTGATTTTTCAATGGATAGATAAAAGTTATTTGGAAATAATTATAATGCTGTCGCGTCAGAATGTTTGTATAAGACAGTGACAGCAACAATTTTATTCCTCAGATAACATTTATCTGACTATTGCAAAATCAGCCCTAAGTATTATATTATCATGTGATAACTTCAACGACTAACAATCGTAATAATTCATATCATTTGGCTTTTTGTGTCATAACATAATTATTATAAATATGTAGATCTGAATTAAATTGGTGCCATAAAAGAGAAATTAAATTTTTATAGACTTTTTCATTTGCCTCTTCAGCTTATGAGTATATACGAATCACAATCAATAATAAATTATCAACGGGTCTATTCCTAGTTGTAGTTTTTACTCCAAAAAAAGGCGTATTTTGTATCATGTTTCAAAAACAGATCGAAACAAATAGGCAAATTAAAAAGCACATCATGCAAGTAAAAAATGTTGTGTATTCATACAAACAAAATTTCAAGATTTAAATTCAGTTCAATTAAAGAAATAATTAAAATGTTGGCCATTTCCTTTAATATATTTTATCCTTTTACATTTATATATATCTTTTAGCACCCCAATTTCCTTAAATAATTTTATATTTATTATATTAGTGGTTTGACAAGTCTTTTACATTTAATTATAATGTAGTCAAATTAGTAAAAGTTCACCTACTTGTAATTATTTGTGGCATCATTAATTCATGAATCTAAGGAGCATTCATGTTATGTAAGTTTGTTGATAAGTTTGAATATGAGAAAATGAATAAAAGTTTTAAATACTTTGATTACAGTGTACATAAAACTTTTAGATCTTTTTGGAATATTCTACTTTGTAACTGAAAATTTCTCGACAGGCTGTCGTTTTCAGTATCGACGATAAACTACCTTCTCTCAATCCATAATTGAATTTTTCACAATTTCCAGTTCCACATACACAACAATTAGAAATGGTTTTTGTCATGTTATTTAAAGGATATATTACAATTTAAAATAATTACTTAATTTGACTACACTATAAAGGTATCTGCAATCTCAACCACACTCTTTTAACTGAAATGGCTGATGGTTAAATTGCTTAATGAGCTTGGTTTAATCGCAAAAATGTTAAACAATCTGCTAACGACACATGGATTCAACTCATGGTACATACTATATTGTAATGGTTTACAAGGAATTTGGTTCCCTTGACATATGATGGGATGACCTACATAATAATTATAATGAATTTATGTCCTTCCTTCTCAGCAAGTAATGTTTCTTTGCAAGCATTTCGTAATTCTATTCCGAAGCATTATTATTATGATGTCGTGAATATTGTGGCAGAATATATATAAATATCTTGTTTCGATCATTTATCTTAACATATAAGTCTGTAGAATTACGTCTGAGCCCTCAGCTTTTCGAAGTATTACATTTCTACTTGCTATTTTACATATTTCGTGTTTATAACAACATACACCTGTATATATCGATTATATGAACAATGAACATTGTATTCTAATTAATCTACGTGTTAACCATATCTATAACTCTTTCATTGAGTTCACAGTCTATGGTATTGTAAAAATATATAAAAGCAAATGACTTATGTATGCACACCCCTACTTAAAATAAAATGGTTTAAAAAAGTAAAAATTATTTTCACCGTGTAGTTCACGAAAATTTTACACATTATTCCAGTCCGTATCAACGCCAAATTATTTGAAGGTCGTATACATTATTATTATTATTATTGCGCATTAAAAAACTATACCAAAGTAAGATGCTTCTGACCTATTAGTTGCTCTTAGATTATTAAATAAAAAACATATGCTTCCAAAAATAGCAGGTTCGGAAAACAATTCGGCAAATAGCCAACGGCCAATCAAAATTAATTTACGATAAATTAGATAGATTTTTTCAAGATCACAAAGACTACCATGGCGTACCAGCATTTGTCCGTATGGCCTATAGAATATCCTTAATATACTTTAATTTGCAAGCATTCGGACCCAAACATCCTTAGCTGATACATTAGGTACAATAAGTAAATAGCAATATTATAAATAGTTTGCAAGTTTATTATTTAAGAAAGGAACATCTTACCTTGATAGTATTACTGGTAAAATTAGTAAATTGTCATCCTGAATAAATACTTTTAGTGAAATCTGGTTTTAGATTCAGTGCTGAATGCCCAAAACTACATGGGAAAAAGCCAGAAGATAGAAGAAGACTGAAAGTGCAAAAATAAAACATAAAATTAATGAAAAATTAACACAATGTTCACTACAGCAAAATTAACTACAATTTTATACATTTTACAATAACATTAATGGCTAACTTATAATTTAGATAATTCACTGTCTAGGATGATTTCATAATATCCATGTAGTTCTCACAATTTAACTATATTGGGCACTTACTGGACCCAGTCCATTTCGTGCTAGAGGCGAAGTAAATTTCATCGTTGCGGATTCCGACGAACAGCTTTACGAACGCGTCGGACGGCGGGGTTGGAGCCATTGGCGCCAATGTTGAACTGGACCTGTGGCGTACCGGCGGGAGCCCCACCGAAACTGTACACGCCCGATTGCTGCTGCAAGGGCTGCTGTTGCATTTGCGGCTGCTGCATGTGCGGCTGCTGTAAGTTCATAAACATCTATTACTTTTACGATAATGCTTTAACGTTACGCTATTTATATTGATGTAGATTCAAACATACATAAATAACATCAATGAATAAAACTAAAGCAGTAAATGGACCACCACACAACATTTCATGGCTAACACTATTTTTTTTCGTTTAAAAGCTCTAGCACGAGCGATCTAATAGATGACAGACAGACAGACAGTCAGTTATGTAAAACATACAGACAGACATCTACAAGGCATTTGTTTTTTGCCATTTGGCTACTGAGCCCTGAAAAGCATTGCATAGGCATAATAATAGTGTAAAATTTTAAGATTAAAAAAAACGAAAACATTATTTACCTGTTGTCCAAATCCGAAAATGCCTGTTGCAGATGGTTGCGGAGAGCCAAAGGAAAAGGCAGGCGCAGGCGCTGGGTTCAGCGACGGGGCCTCAAATGAAGGAATAGACGGAGTCGGCGAACCAAAGGTTGACGTCGCACCCATGCTTGGTGAACCGAACATAGGAATCTGTGGTGTAGGATTGCTGGCCGGCTGCGTCGAGCCGAACAAATTTCCTGATGGCGGGCTTTGAACCGGACTCGAGAAGAGATTTGGCTGTGTGTTGTTACTCTGGTTATTCATACCGAATATATTTTGCGGAGGCGCCGCGCCAGCACCGAAAGCCGGCGCGTTGTTACCGGCATTGAACGGTGTGGAAGATCCGAATGTGAATGTAGCCGGCTTCTGTAAGCTACTGGTCGTAGCGTTAGACACGAATAGATTCGGGGTCGAGGTGTTGCTGCTCGCCGCCCACATATTCTCTTTTGGAGCGGTATTATTGAACAAGACCGTTGCACCTCCGGTTAAAGAGTTCCCCGCCTGCATAGTAGTTGATTGTTGATTTGCAGATAGGCCATTGGTACCTCCTAAGGTACACGTATTGCCCATTGCTAAATTATTTGTTGGAAGAGAATTTCCAGGCATTGCAGAAAGTGTATTTCCCATCATAGGATTTCCCGTAAGGCCATTTGGCGCATTTAATCCATTGCTGCCTCCAAAACTATTTGTAGCAAGATTATTACTAGAACCCAACGAAGATCCAGAAGACAAATTAAAAGTATTTGTATTTACGTTACTTTCACTCGCACCGAATGGTGACTTAAACGCTGGTGGGTTTGTTGCAGGAGTTGTATTACTACCAAATGTAAATTGAAATTTAGGTTTCTCTGTGGCAGTAGGTAACGTGAGTGCAGTTGGGGCCGAAGAGTTACTCGCTGCATTGCTGCCAAAACTGAAAATTGGCGCTGGTGTTGCTGCTGGCGTAGATGCTGGTGCTGATGCCGGTGCTGGTGCGAGCGCTGGTGCTAGTGATGGCGCTGGTGCCAGTGTAGGTGCCAGTGCTGGTACAGATGCCGGTGCTGGTGCTGGTGCTGTTGCCGGTGCTGGTGCCGGTGTCTGTGCCGGTGTCTGTGCCGGTGTCGGAGCCAGTGTTGCGCTGCTAGAAGCTTCTTTGTTTTGGAATAGAGATGCAGCAGGTTTGTTTAAATCGGGCTGTTGGAATATTGATGACGATGATGTGGCGGTTGTGCTTGGCTCAGCCGGTTTGAACATTGATAAAGTGGGCGCACTAGTTGTTGGCAATACTGTACTTTGCGAAGGCGGTGTGAACAAATTCGTCGACGTACCCGTACTTGCCGGAGGTTCAAATAGTTTTGTACTGGACGACAAACCGAATGTAAATGCTGGTTTTGGATTTTGAGCGTCAGCCGCTTCTGGTAATGCGGCAGCGCTTTTAAGTGAAGTGTCCTTCTTTGTGGTATTGGCTAACGGATTAAATAAACTCGTAGTTGGTAGTAACGGCTTATTTTCTTTACTAACTGGAGTCAGTTCAGGCACCTGCGGTTTACTCTGCACAGGTAAGTTTAAGTCAACCGAAGGAACTTCTTGAAGTTTCTCTTCTTCGGAATTTTTATTTGTCTCTGGCAATTTCGTTGTAACTGTTGGTATTGTTTTTGGAATACCAAATGTGAAATTCATTTTTGGAGCTTCATCTGTCTTTTCTTTTGGAGTATCAACTTTATTTTCTAATTTTTTAGTAGGCAGTGAAAATGTAAATGTTGGTGTTTCAGCCAAAACATTATTATTTGCTTCTGACTGCGGTTTCAATTTCGTATCTAGTATTGATGGAACTTCTGGTTTGTCAGCAATGCTGGCGCCTTGCACTTTGGGATCGATGCCGAATTTAAACGTATTGTTCGTAACTGTTCCAAAATTGAACTTTGATTCAGGCATTTTCTTTATGCCTTCTTTTTCCGCACCACAGCATACACATTGCTTTTTGTCACTTTCGTTACGAACTAAGCAACTTGAACATTCCCATTTGTCTGAATGTTGGGTCTTAGCAATTGCTTTAAATTTGTCACTGGTTCCGAATGACGTAGTTTTATTACTTAAAGAGTCCGCAGTACTAGCCTGTTTCGCTCCGGGTCGGGCACCACCACAAGCTGCGCATTTATCTACGCTGCTTTTGTTCGAGATCCAACAATCGTCACATTTCCAATCAGCTGCCACTTTAGTAGTGTTTTGTACTGAATTTAATGGACTAGTCACTGTTTCAGGTTTTGAAAAAACATTGGTTGGTATCTCTGTAACTGCAGTGAAGGTAGGTAAAGTAAACTTCGAACTGCTGTCACTTGCATTACTGAACAGAGATTTCGATGTGGAACTCGCCCCGATTGATTGAAGGTTAGCCTTTCCGGCTTGTGTCGCAGACATCTTCTCACAATTAGCGCATTTGTCTTTTTGTGACTGACTATCGGCAAGTTTACAAACAGAGCACTTAGCACTAGCATTTTGTATTGGCTGTTTAGCTCCACAACAAACACATTTGTTGGATTCTGGCTTGTTTTTAACCCAGCAGTCGGAACACTGCCAGTCTTTTGGTTTAGTCGAGATTGTTTCATTTGCTTTTATCACACCTACAACAACAGAAGATTCGTCATGTTTGTTTTCAAATTTCTGATCTATACGTCGCTCAGGAGAGTCGAATTTGAATTTCAAAGGTGAAGATTCCACTTGTAAGTCGTAACTTGATACTTTTACAGGATTAGAAAATGTGTAGACACTACTAATTACGGTTTCGTGCTTACTTGTGGGTATGTGAGTAGCTTTTTTATCAGCTGTAGGGAAAACAATTTTTGGTGTTGATGTAGTGAGCTTAGCTGCCGCTGGCGGCGGCGGCGGTGTATCGAATGTAAATTGGGGCAGTTTGTCTTTGTCTAACTGTAATGTGCCTGTGGGCAGTTTCACGGGAGTTGCAATGTCGATCTCCTCTTGCTGCCCTCGGTTAGTTCTAGTTATTCTTGATTTTATTTTGGTAGAAAACTTATGAGGTGGTTCCTTCTGGGTGTCATTCCTAAAAGAAAAAACATTAAATTAATGTCAAATATAAATATCTAAGCAAAGTACAACCATAATTAAGCACTTTTACTGACGTGCAGAATATCAATGCAGTAACACTAAAAGTGCATGATAAGACCAATTGCACAATGCCTCAACAATAAAAATCAATTAAGATGTGAAATACAATGCAAACGTGGCGAGGCCCGGCCCCTTCATTTAAAATGGGCCACCAGAAACTTATGGTAGATTTGAACAATATTAATTACATATTCAGCTCCAATAAGAGTCATGACTATAATACGTTACCCTCTCGTTTCCTGATTAGGATAAGCAGGAATTTCGTTAGAAGTACTGCTTTGAGAAGCCATTAATTGACGAGCAATATTCGTCGTGTCCATGAGACGAGACTTCTTTTTCAGGCGTAGTATAGATGCAATGCTTGGTACATGAAGCTCCCGAGTCCGATGTGCTAAAATAATAATTAATTTATATTAAAACTTATTTTAGATCATCTTAAGGTTTAACATTTAAAAACCAATAGCAGTTTAAATAAAGCAAACTTGGATAAATGGCTCAGACAATGTAGGGAAGTTAAGTGTAACATAAACTTCATTATTTTACTACTGGCTTATAAAAATGTTAACATTGAGTGAAGAATGATACTGAAGACTAGTGAAATAACACCTGTACAGTAATACTGACATTCAGACTTGATAATAAAAGCAAGGTTCATTTATTGCCCAAACACCAGAGATGGGAAACATTGTTCCTTACATAATTTACTGAAGAATACATGGATCACCAAGCTGTTTTTTTTATGTTAATGGAACCTAAGTATAGTTACTTTCGTCCCTGTATATTTATATAATTTCCTATCCCTCGTGATTGGTGTTATAGATAAGGAACTGACTAACCACAACTCATTTGAACCTTAAAATTCGTTGTATTTATAACAAAAACTCATTGAAAAGTAACATTGAGTGTTTTTATACTATTGTGTCTGAAAATAGTCGAAAACTGAAACCATTCTGGGGAAGCAGTAAACCTAGTCAACAGGTCATCATAGAAAGAGAAACACTAAAAAAGGTAACAATCAAGGGAGAATTCATAAGAAATGATTTCCATTCCACACGGAATCTGTGTGTAATGTATGGCTAATACATTTCACACAGATTCTGTAGAGATATTGTGAAGCATTTGACTCCTAATTGCACAAGTACCTGGGAAAGCTTCATTGAATGTCAACAGGAGTGTAAAAAAGTTGTTAAGAACATTTAATTAATATGGGTCAGATAAATTTTCAAACAACTAACAATAAATAAATGTGATGTGATGATTACCTATACTATACATTTTCTCAGTTTAGAATCTATGTCGATACAAAATTCACTGACAAGCAAATAATAGTGTCTGAGAGCTTTAACTGATTGCATTACTATTCTTTGCAGACTTTACCATTGCTACACTTTAGCATAATACATTTTAATTTGACTTACCTAAATTACTATTTGTAGAAGAAGAGGATGTATTGCCCATAAGAAATCGATCATTTTTGGGTTTGGTATAGAGCGGGATCCTGCGGGCTTCCATGAGCGGTGAGGAATAGCTTTCTAGTAGGTCCATGATACGTCGCGCAGCGCTGCTGATGGCGCTGTCATCGTTGATCGGAGACTCATTAACTACCGCTACAGTCTCTTGTTTTATATTCGGCTGGTTAATGTATGAAGACGCTGCTCCTCCATACATAGTTCTCCCAGGGTAAAATGGTGAACCAAGCAGACTAGGTTTAAAGCTGGGCTGCTTTGGATCACGATACGACGCAGTTGTTGATGCTTTTGCTAAAAGTTCCAAAGAATTAATATTTTCGTTAAGTTACATTAAAACATTTATTTATTTTACACGCTTCAACTAGCAAAAACTTAGGATGTACCTCACAACTAGGTGTTTACTGGATAAATCAACTGTTTAAATAATCACAAATTTCACGAGTTATCTTTTGAGTCCCTTAGAAAAGGGGGTAAGCCTAATGCTACCAGGCACAATTATACACAATTTATTAATGATGAATATTCATTAATGTATGGTTACTTGATAATATAGTGACACTGTTAAGTTTGAGTATCAAAATGTTAAAAGAACAATGGCAGATATCATTGTAATTCTTTGCTTAAAGAATTGAATTTTTATTGAAATAAGTCTGGTGGAAACAATATCCTACATTGAAGTTTACTGTAGCATTTTAGTCAATAGTTTTGTAAATATTTGAAGTTTATAAGTTTAAAAACTCTTTTAACTGTAAAAAAATGTAATCTTGATATTTACAGATGTTTAAAAGTTCTATCAAAAATATATTATGCCATTGTTCTTGGTTTCCGAAATAATGAGATCTCTTGTTTTTGTAATGTCATATTTTAATTTATTCCTCCAATAGCAATTTTGTATCATTTTTGTTTGTATATTTCTTTGGTTAAATGATTTAATTTAAAGAAATGTAGCTAACAAATAACTTACCAGTGGCTCTCCTCACTTCCTCAGGGGTGGTTGTTTCAAAAATAGATTTTCTTTTTGCAGCAACTGATTGACCAGTACTGGCGAAGGAGTGAGACATCTTGAATCGTGGTGTGTCTCTTTCCATGGTGTCCTGATGGTCTTCATTTGGTGGCCTCAGTGCTGTACTATATGAGTTACGAGTAGGTTGTGTACACTGAGTGCCTGTGAAGGGACTATATGGTAGTTCTCTGATTTCCACATCATTTCTGGAGCAGCTTGCCTGTAAAATACAATGAAATTTAGGTGTAAAATGTTTTTAAAATCTCAACTAATTATTTATACTTTAAAGTGATGGCTTATTAACAATAGATAGATAGATTTATTAATAAGTAATTATGAAAAAGGTCTTACATCTGGAGGACTGTAGTGATTGTAGGTCCCTGTTGAGTTGAACCGCATGCGTTTTGCAGGTGGCTGTTGAGGTACTTCCGGGCTTTCCACAATTTCATCATCTGAAGAATCTGAAGCATCAGCAACTGGCATCGAGCCATTTGCATCTGAGGAGCGTGGGCTGCTGAACCACTTTGTGATAGTACTGGGCAGTAAGCCTGATACTCTAGATGTCACATTTTTCACAAATGACTGAAAATAAAAATAAATGCTTATAGAATTTTCACCAATACATTATTTATTATGTGACCCATGTTGATTGTTTGTTAGATGATAATCTAGATATTTTTAAATGACGTAATATTTCATAATTGTCATTTATTTTCGCATTAACTGAGAAAAGATAAATATCTTTTATCAGCTTAATCCTAAATAACTAATCATAAATTTAACTACTAAGATAAAAAAAATGCATCTGTGAAAATTTCAGATTCACACAAACACACATTTGCAGTAAAATCGCAGAGACAAAAACCAACCATGATAATAAATTAAAATGTTCGCTATACCAGTAATGGCTAATATATAAAACTACAAGCACAGCAAAGATGTAAATAAAACATAACTATTCTAGGGCTTCCTCATTACTTAGACTGATTTGTGGCTTGATTCTATACATATATACAATGTTTCACAGTAGATTGTTATTCAGCAGCCACTTATGTTCAATCAAGACCAAACTAAGACTCAATTTAAATGTTATAAAACCCAATAATTTGCTTGCTGCAAGAATCATCATGCTCAGCTTTGATAACAAGTAACATAACAGGATTTTTAATTTAATGAATTTGTAATAGCAACAGGCATATGTGAAGGATTGAAATTAGTGGCTTTACTTTGAAAAATGATTCACTAAAAATATTTATAATAACAAAACAAAATAGGTATAATAACTAAAACCATCTCCCATCTCCAACCTGCCTGCCAAGTATGGGGATTATAGCAAATCCTTTTGTGCAAAGAAGATTTCGTAGCAATATACTAGTATAGATTGATTCAAAATATTTGAGTGTTAAATTATAATAATTGATTTAGTAGTAAATTTCACTACATAAACTATCAGTCATTAAGCTCACATAAGTTGACAGTATTGTCCATAATCTTATCATAGTGATACAAACAAGGATCGGTACACAACATAAATATGTATATGGATGTCTTGATTAGTTAAATAAACATTTTCAATAGAACTCCATTTTGTTTTAATTATGGATCATCATTAACAACAAAACATAAGCACTTTTGCTTCCCTTCCCCTAAAATATATACATTGTCTCCCTAAGCAACAAGTTGCAATGAAATAAGCTTTGCTGCATTGGCTAGTTGGACACTAAAATAGCACAGCATGATGCACTCAAATGATTGATAATGCATGTATGAACTTGTCACTATATTGATGTGAAACATTGCGAAATAACAATGAATCACAAGATTCCTACAATTAATCAAAAGTTAAATACCCAAATATTTGCTTTCGTAGAAACATCTAGACTTAAATGGAAATTGTGTAGCATCAAACAGCACCTACATAGTCAATAACCTATGTAGATAGATATAATAACAACTTATAAGATGTACAGTCTCAAATCAATATTCAATAGTACCTTAATTCAATAAACCAAGTATGTAAGTAATGAAATCATACATCTCTGATTTTATAAATATAATATTAATTTGAATGGATTGTTTAAATCTTTGGTTAAGGAACAGAAAAAATATTCAATAAAGCATGGACTTTGACAAGCCTGAATCTTCGCAAAAGCGCAAGTTACTCAATAGGGTACTAAAAACTCAGTTATTATAATCTATCAATAAATTTGAAAGTCACTCGCAAAGCAAGTGTATAAATATACACAAACTACGCGTGAGGCCACACATTTCTTGAAAAATGCAACGACATTGTCGCCAAGAGCGGGAATTTGGTTATTACTTACATTGTTAACTTCGTTAGAAGATGAGTGCGATCGCTTTTCCTTATTTCTTGGTGTTTTTTGACTCATTGTGGAACTGGTGTAGGGCACTGTTCTACAATTATACGAAGAAACGCTACTGCAAATACAATTTTTGGCTAAATATATTCACAACTGGCAAAAACGTGACAAACATGGCGTCTGTAAAATGTGTCAAAGAAACGCTTGGAGGGAGGTCCGACTACTATCAATAGTTAAAATTTAAAATCACTCTTCACCGAAAACAAAGCGCAATGAAAATTTAACTTTAAATGTCTAGCAAATTACAAAAATGTAGATAGAAGTGATAAACCACCAGTAGAATTGACGGCGAAATCAAAAACTCGTAATTCGCATTAGCGCTTAGCGCTCAACGCGCAATTTGTGAGTGTTGCAATGTTTGAAAAATATTTTACCTTAATGGCAGGTCGATTGCAGTTAAGGAGCGGATAGAGTTTCACTTAATATTACGAACTTACGTTTCTATTTTAAAATAATTATACAAAATGTTACATATTTCTGAAGTGGTTTATTATATGAAAGTATTTAGAATTAATATGCACGCATTTAGGAACCATGTCAAAATATGTGTATAAAACAATTTTATTTTCTTTTTTGTTCGTATTGTTCTAAGTAAGCGTATAGTCAAATATTATAGCAGTTAATCAAGCTATGATAAAACTATTAAACATTCATCTTAACAGTTAATTAATTTCGAAAAATCTATATTATACGTATATCAAATTACAACAACGATAACAAAAACTTAAGAATAAAAAGTTAGACCTATCCGTTGAAAAAATTACTTTAAAGTTTGAGGTAAATTAAAAAAACAAACAAGTAAAAACGAGACGCGACGCGACGAGAGTTTTTGCTTCATAGAACGAGGATAGTGAATGATAGATATCTATCTAACTCGGCATTAATGTATGGTCTGCTATTGCTTTATACGTCTGTGGAGAAAACAAGTTCAGCATTGCCTGAAGTCGACATGTCACAGTGACACATAATTATTGCCAGCATCAATAAATAGATAACACATTTACCAGCTTTTGACTACGTTCAAAAACTGATTTGATTCTTTTCGTAGTACTTATAATGCTTACATACTTCTCAAACACCAACCGTATTCTTGATGGAGCAAACGAGCGGCAATTGAGTTTTATGATTTTAATATTGAGGCAATAACGATCGCCTGTACTATTCCGTCTTATAACATAATCGCACAGATCAAAGGACATTGTTGATCTTCCTAGTAGGTAGCTTTAGGTCCCCTTTCAACTCAACCGGAGACCCAATCCTTCCTCGCCCTACCTAAAAGGTCGGCAACGCACTCGTAACTCCTCCGTTGCGGGTATCTATGGGCGGCGCTGATTGCTTACCATCAGGTAAACCGCCTGCTAGTTTGCCGACCAATTATATAGATACTTACCGGTCCGTGTATATAGGTTTCACGGGTTTAAGCGCAGGACACACCACCAGCTAGCGGGCGGGCGGGCTAGGCGGGCGAACATCGTTTCACCTCTTTACATACTTCGGTTCACACCGCGAGCTACCGACTAACCTAACGAGCTAAGCTAACGAAATATCCGACGATTCCAGCGAAGCTACTCGTTCACCTCGTTGGCGCTCCCGGTTCGTTCGCCCGTCCTCCCCGTTTCGAGTAGACTAGTTGACGCTTGTCTTTCGAATAGCAGTGTAGTGTTTTGTTTTTGGTGTGAACCCCATAGTTTAGCTCGCCAATATTTCGCGTAGTTTGTATAGTTCCCTTCGTTCGCTTCGCCCATCCGCCTAGCCCGCCCGCCCGCTAGATGGCGGTGTGGCCTGCGCTTTAAAAGGAACATCATCCCTTGATATTGTCTTTAGAGGTAGCTGGTGGCTTTTATAGACAGATTACAGTATTTTAATGGGCACTTATTAAAATAGTCCTAATTGTTTCCTACTAATAATATAAATAACGGCTTACTAACTTAAATTAATTGAGAACAGTTTAGTTAGTCTAGTTGAACGGAATAAATAATTTTGTAGTTTAATTATCTTTTTATACACGTCATACATAGTAAAATTATGTGTCGTGCTGTTACGGAATTCCATCATTTGAGTCGGACTCAGACTTGGCCTTTTTTTACTTTACTTAATATGACTGTGATATTGGGTGCTACACATACAACTTTTAAAATAAAACAAAATTCAATATAAAACACTGGTTTTATTTATTATAATATTAAATTAATTAGTCCACTCCATAACCAAAGAATAAAACTTACGCAGTGGGATAATTAAATAATTATATTTACATAAAATCATTCATATTGGAATATAAATCATCCAATTCGTATGCTCATGTGATATGATGCTGCATTTGTCCATGTTTAGTTATTGCACTTCAGTAAAACATTACTTGTACTCTCTTGGTATTGCTCATCAAATAATTTCAAACAAATAGTTTGATGCTTGTACATTTCTCATTTTATGACAATAATTTGAACTTGACGTCCTAAATCTAGTAATTCTAAAATATTTTCATATCCTTAAAGATACGTATTACACGAATTACATACATTTTAATAACACGAGACGTTCTGAGGGCTCCAAGTATTCAGTAACAAGGACGATAATGGGAAAATTTACAAATTCAACTACAAAATGTAGAGGATTTATTCAAATAAGCGAGAATAGTGTGAAAGTCGTAAAATGTACTTTCTAATTACCTTATAAATAATCTCAACGTAAAAATACCCTTACTTATCTACCTACTAACATCAATATACTTTGCCGAATGAACATCTTTTTTAAAACAATGAGATCTTGTGTCCATGCTTTCGACGACCTATTTTTTTTTTCTATTATCTCGCACTGCCAAAATGCACATTATGATGCTCATTACCAAATACTTCGAGACTAAGAGTACTTTGCTCTTGTGCTTGCATACTTGCTTCCACTTACATGAGTCGTCATTTGACGTTTTCACTTAAACCATGCTATAGAAATTGTAGATTGACTATTGCTTTACAGTTTTACGCTATTTGTAGAACATAAGGAGTGTTTCCGTTACATAACATAACACTTATAGACTAACAATATTTTTATTTCATTTATATTATTTATACCAAACAATAGACTATCTTTGAAAAATGACAAACACATGATAATAGGATCTTTAAATCTTAATACAGAGTTACAAATGCTATATCCATATGTAATTAAAATGGTATATTGTATAAAATTGCTTTTTCGATGGAATCTAGACGTTTTACAGAGTATTAAAATGTTAACACTAAAACAACATCGATATTTAAACTGCGTTCTGCTACTCAAGTTGTACAATTGACAATATCACAAAACAATTGCGCGCCGACTGTCGCATGTGATGAGGCTGCGGCGCGCGGCGCTCGCTACGTACTGTTCACAACTTGTCCACATGCCACATGCGATATGCGACCGATCTATAACACTTTATACTTTCAAACAGACAATACAGATGTTTATATAAACTTTTTAATAAATATTTAATAAACCTGTTAAAACAGTAGGTAATATTATTGCTTCAAGATTGTAAAAGGCAAATATATCCTTCTTAAAAATAATATTCATCCGTGTTTGTGACATCAAAGTACCTAATAGAATTGAGGATAATTTTCTTAATTTAACAATAGCTCGAGCGACACACTAATCGTCGGAAGTCTACATTACTTCAATAAACACACAATATTCGCTTAAATACGTTGAATAAGGTAATATTAACACGCTACTACATCATTGAGTCTGACTAAGAGTACAAAATCTACGTTTAGTATTCTTTAACATTTACTTTCAGATTTACTGAATAACGGATCCTAGTACTCACATGCGTTTAAGCGCATTAACATTAAGATAGGGAGGCAAATGTTTGGCTATTAAAGTCTGGAAGGGGAGGGCAACACACGTAAATGTTATTATTTATATGAAACAACCATCTCAACTAGAGTACTATCAATGACCTAGGCTCCTGGAGCGTCGAAGCATGTAACGCGACTTCTAACATAGACTAAAATATGGAATTTAACAAACCCGAGTCCCGGGGAGCGGCAGACGGACAACTGCTATATTGTACTATGATTACGTTTATAGTCGCTGCTGATATAGTCGTTGCGTCGCAGGCGGTGCTCGCGCGTTTTTGTTCATGGCAACACTAAACTACGCTGCTACAGCGTTAAAATCTAAAATTGTAAAAAAATATTTTGATCCAAGTTTAAAATGTCATTTTAAGGGCCACTTCACGCCTGAGTCGAATTTACTTTAGACGCATACTTGATTTTGGACGACGCCAAAAAATAATCATGTTTATATAAGTCGGACGACATGAAAACAAATTCGAAGCACTTGTATAAACACCGAACCACCACAAGATGAGGTCACCAAAAGGCAAAGAGGTCTAAAATTTACTGGAGCTAGATTCAGTCTCTAAGTTTTACTTGTCGACGAATTTAGTTAACTGTTACACTTTCTTACTCGAATATATATTATCATATCAAATGCTCAACAACTTAACCTTAATATGCGCTCATGAATATTTTACCAAAGATAATTTTCTTTTTATAATCAACAAATATGTATTTGTACGTAAAATTAGAAGTACAATGTCGCAAGCGTTCACTGGCGGTAGATCATCCTAAATAAAAGACAATAAATAAAGAAGTTAGTCTACATGTAACATTACACAAAAGTACGAAATCTACGTGCTTACTTATAAAAGTCCTTATGCATACAGTAGGTCGTAATAGTGTGTAAACACGGTTCATTATATACAAACTCGAAATATCTTAACGCCAAGGATTCCACTTTCGGAATAAGTAAGAAAATAGCTGCTTTACTGACGTATCAAAATTATTCTTAAACTCACCAAAGTGACTAACCCTAACTCGCATCCACGACACTAGAAATCACTTAAGTATATCCGTAAACCTAACGCAATATTAATATAACGTTACTTACAATGTGCCGATGCGCTCTCTCCCGACGGAACTAAAACCTGGCGTATGCATATCTTAATGTAACAAATTAACTTAGACAAGTGCTCGTTTTAGGAAGACGTGTTTCCAAGGCCGTAGCCAGATAAACATATTGTCGTTGCTGTTAGCTTGAAATTATTTTAATACTTAAGTACATGTTTAATTTTGTTAATAGAAATAGATTTGTTATTCACAACCACAATTAAATCACTGTTTGAATGCATTAGTCTTAGTTTGTTCGTTTACTTGTAAATATTGTATTGGAATAGTTATGTAACGGAAGAGTAGTGTAGGGAACGCGCTTGTCACGTTGTCACTTAGCTACGGCCTTGCATGCCCAAGATATCTGCTAATGGCTAACCACGGGTTCATATAACGAGCTTACAAAGTACATACATTTGGTAGCGTCTATGTGGAA